TACTCGGCACCATCTGCCCCCGAGGGGACCAGGGGAGGCCTCACCTCAACTGGGTCCACGCCATCCTCTTGGGTAGGGGGCACGTAGAAGCGCACCTCCATGAGCGAGACCTCTGCATCGTCATTCTGGTGGAACTCCAGCGTCACCTCGTTCTTGCCTGTGGTGCACTGGGACACGTTGCTGAGGGGTATCTCGAAGACCGGCTGGTCGCCAATGTCAAAGGAAAGCAGCTGCCCTGTGGGGGAAGGGCTGTCAAGCCACAGCTCCTCCCCCTCGAGTCTGCACAAACCACATTCCCACCAGACACAAGTTCCCTGAGGACAGGGCTACTCTGCTCTCAAGGTACCCACAAGACCGGGCACAGTGGGGTCCTTGATAAAAATAGACGATGAATTACAAACTGAGAGGAAATCAGAGACAGTGACAGAAAGAGTGAAACAAGTTAATGGCTGCCACCCTTCAGCCTGCCTTCTCCCCAATCCTCAACCTGGCCCAGGACTCACCACCAAACTTCACCGTTCCCCAGTTCCAGCCCTTCACACAGAGGTCCTTCTCCATTAGCTCAAGGCGATAGTGAGTTTTGAAGAAATCAGAGAGTTTCTCAAACTCCTGTGGGGGGAGCGGAGAGAACAATCCCAGTAACACTGATGGTTTCAACACAAGCGTGAACATTCTGGAATTATCTATTTCTGAGAAATTGCCCCAATATACCTTTTATCAGAAATCCATGCTGACTTAGAATCTCAGCTATAAAACACTGTAAGAGGTTGTTTCTGGGGACTGGATCTCTGGGAGGGGAAGAGTAGAGTAAGGAACTGACAGCTCGTGGTTATGGGCCTCACAGTGCTATCTCTGTGCAGATATCGCTTTAATGAAAGTGAACATGAAAATGAAGTAAAGTCTTCGACTCAGGCAGTTCAAAATGGAAAAACAAAACTTGAACTAACGCATCAAACTAAGACTCTGCAGCTGGATAAAGGCAACAAGCAGAAACAAGAACAAAAAAAAAACACAAAAAACAAAAACAAAAAATGGCAGAAAATCCTCTGGAAGTCAAGGCACAAAGACATTCTAGACCACATGTGTCAAACACAAGGCCCGCGGGCCAAATCCGTCCCGCCAGGCCTTGCAATGTGGCCCGCACCGCGCTGTCATCACTGCACTCCGCTGCGTTTCCATCACAATGACAGTTTATGACTGTTCAGTAAACCACTCGGCCCGCGATTTAGGCTGGATTTTAGATTTTGGCCCCTTCTCTGATTGAGTTCGACACCCCTACTCTAGACTCTGACACCCAAAGCTGAACACTAATTGCGTGGTGGCCTCAATGACCCTGCTCTACGGAGCTCAAACCAGCAACTGCATGGCTACCACGGGAAGGAGGCCCAACTCTCTCCAGAAGATTAAAAATGAAACAAGATGGCACCACAAGAGGGGGGGTCTGTGGCAAGAGGACACCTCACCGATTCTCGGAAGCCGTCATACTTGTAGACGTGGCCGTTCTTTGTGAGCAGTTTCAGTCCGTGGCCCAGAGCCACGCGGCGCCAGATGCCTTCCGTCAACTCCCCGGCCTGGATGTTGTCCACTTTGCCCGTCTTACTGTTCTTGAAGATGATGCCCTGGCGGCTCAACCTCAGCCGACCATCATTCTGTTGGGGAAAAAAAATGGGTCCAAATGCATCATTCTAGGCTGGCCAGTTATCAATCCAGAGGCAACAGCTGACGTGGCGGGGGCCAGCACCAAAGGGACGAGGAGCCAGGAAGCCCGGATTCTAATCCTGGCTGGGGCATCCAGAGCCCTTGCAGGTCCTCACTTTCAGGATTCTGCATTGAACAGCAGGCGTGGTCCCTTCAAACTCCGAGACCCTGTAAACTCATGCACTTTCTCACTGTCAGCTTTTGTTGGGGCAACACCAAGTACATGACACTCTGACTCCTTTTCCAAAGTAGCCACACGATCCAAGCAAGCTCTTTCGAACGGGCAGAAGGTCTGTTTCGCTCCCACTTCCGCTTCCGCTTTCCCACCTCTATCAAAAGCGCAAGCCCTTCTTACCATGGAGCCTTTCACCTCCTGGTAGATGTCGTTGAACTCCAGTGTTTCCGCCATGCTAACTGCCCCTTTTGGCCTCCACCGGGAGCTGGGCCCCAAACCCTGGGTAGGTGTGCAGATCCTCACTCAGAAGGTTGGAAATCTGAATTCAAGAGGGAGACACCTGAGCAGGAAAGCCAACACCTCACTCTGCCCACGGATGGGGCCAGGTGGCAACCCATGGCTGTGCCTGCGGCGATGTCCAGGCTCTTCCCTGCCTGGGAGCCTTCCGGTGTGGGCTCCGCAGACCTCGAAGAGGCCAGACCCAGCCCCGATCAGAGAACTGGGGCCCGGAGTAGCACTTGCACCCCAACGGGACAGGGCGCTCCACCGGGCGCCATGGCAACGAGCAGCGGTACCTCAGAGCCAGCCGGAGTCCGCACTCCGCCCGCGCCCAAACCCAGCTCAGGATGCAGGGTCCCCCCCCCCCCCCCCCCACCACACACACACTCCCTCCCAGCAACTGCATGCGTTCCCACCGGATCGCGGCCCCAGACCCGGTTCCCCCGCCTCCCCACAAAGTGGGTTCGCCCGCCACCCGCGGATTCGAACGCGGAACGGCCCATCTGGAGTGTTCCGCGAGGGGGGGGGGGGGCAGGAATCGGCCCTCCTGGGGCACGGGGGACGGCGAACACCCACCTCCTCTGACTGCTGCAGGCCTCGCGGCGGCCCCGGTGCAGGCGGTGGGCGCGCAGAGGGACGCGGGGGGAGGGGGCGGGGGCGCGGGGTGGCGGGGGGGTACCCTGGGGAAGCTTTTCCCGCGTGCGCCGCCCAGCGTCCCGCCACCGGAAGCTGACTCCGGACCATAGAGAGGACGGCCGGCTAGAGAGGCGTAGATCGCGTAGAGCGTCGGCGGACCCGGAGGACCCGAGCGCATCCCGGTGGCGAGGAAGTCCCGTCAGTCTGCGTGGCGTCGGACGAGGGAGCGGGACCGCGCTTAGGGCCGCTTTGACAATGACAGGCACCGCCTTGGGGAAGGACTGGGTTCTAAAGAGAAAATGTGTAGGTTTCCTTCAGCGGACTTAGCACAGATGCGTGTGTGAGAGGGATACGGGTCCCTCTCTTCTGCACAGTAAGTGGTTTCTGCGGAGTGGGAAGAAGTCTGTGGGACCAGAAGAGAACTGCTTTAGGGTGGTGGAGGGAAAGGACCCCTCCCGCTGGCTGCGAGGAGAATGCGGGGTTTGGTGTCGGCTGGGTCACATGGGACTGGATCCTTTTGGAGATGAGTTCACCGTGTCTGCGCCCAAAAAACCTCACGTCTCTAACCACAATGTATGGATCGCCCGGAAGAGGCTGGTGTCAAGTTCAAGTGCTGGCGTCAGATTCACCTCGGAGTCAAAACGAATTTGAAACCGCATCAGCCTGAGAGTGCGGAAACCATAGCCCTCAGGATGCATCTTGAAACTCAAAGAGGGCCAGAACCTGGAAGACACGTTTGAGTTTGTCTATGCCAGCCTCCTTTTGCCAGTGGGGAGACTGAGGCCCAAAGAGGAGTGGGGCCAGGGTCTCGGTGAGTTGGGAGTAAAACCAGAGACTAGACCCCAAACCCAGTCCAGTTCTCTCCTGTCATAAGCACATGACTGCATCCAGGATGATTGGTAATGTGTCCTGCATGAAGATAGGGGACAGAATATTCAAACTCAAGATTTCTCTGACAATCTGTCTTAAAGCAGGTAGGCCAGCTTGTTGTCTCAACCCGAGGGTACACACCATTGCTCCCTGAACTCGTGGCATTGCCTTCTGGGTAATGGCCTTTGCAGCACTAGCAACATTGTTCAACTGGATTCAATAAATACATGCTGAGCTCTAGCTGGTTTGGCTCAGTGGATAGAGTCCACTGAAAGGTCCCAGGTTGGATTCCAGTCAAGGCCACATGCCCGGATTGCAGGCTCTATCCCCAGTAGGGGACAATCAGGAGGCAGCCAATCAATGATTCTCATCATTGATGTTTCTCTCTCCCTCTCCCTCTCTAAAAACAATAAAAATATATATTTTTAAATCTCATCATTTATATTTCTATCTCTACCCTCTCCCTTCCTCTCTGAAATCAATAAAAATATATTTATAAATCAATCAATCAATCAATACATATTGAGCGCTAACAGAGTTCTAGGATTTAAGGAAACTAGTGAACAAGATGGAAGCAGCCCCAGGCTTCCAGGAGCATACAATCTATTATATATATATATAACAAACGATTCAGATAAGTAAACTAACAGGGAAATAAAAACATAAAAACAATAACAACAAAGAAACCGCTTGATAATGCTATTCTACAGGTAGAGCTTCAGCCACTGCCAACTGGAGTTAGAAATGCAAGCTGTGATTTCTTACTCACTCCTTCCCAGGAGAACAAGAGAGCTGTTTGAGACCCCTCCCCTGACCCATTCTATTACAGGCAGCTATGGAAGGGGGAGGGGGCTGGCTGCAGAACTGAGTGGCTTGGGAAGACTGGCGTGAAGGGGGTACTCATCGAGGGAGGCTATTAGGTGCCTGGGGGTGGGGCATTGTGAGGGGCTTTCAGGAGAGCAGAAAGCAGCTGGTGAGCTGGGCTGAGGATGCAGCAGAGAGAACAGAACAGAAACGGTAGCCAGAGTGCAGATAAAGCATGAGTCCCAGCGGGCCCTCGCCAGCTGGATCGCAGGCAATCAGGAGCCGGGGATTGGAGACCCCACCCCTGCTGACATCACAGGGGAGTGGAGGCGAACAAAAAGGGGTCCCCCGCCCTGGCCTTGGACTCTTGGCAGCCCAGAGTGTCAAGAGCAGAGAGAGCCTGGGCTCTGGGCTAGGGTTGCCTGACTTAAAGGAGCAGGCTCCCCATTCCACAAAGCCCCTCTAAACTGCCCTCCAGGCCTCCTTCATCCCCGTCTCCTGGTCTCAGGACCTCTGCCTCCCGAAGCCACCTCTGGGTCCCTCTGAGCGGCCCATGAGCACTCTCTCAGAATGAACTGCATGTCAGATTTCTTCACCTACGAGACCACCAAGTCTGTGGTTGTGAAGAGCTGGACCATTGGGATCATCAACCGGGCGGTCCAGCTTCTCATCATCTCCTACTTTGTGGGGTGAGTCTGAGGCGCTTCGGGTGCCAGAAAGGGGGGGGGGGGTGCTGCCCTCTCCTCTCCTCCGTGGTGTTGTCCAGCTTCCTCCGCGTCTCCTCTCCTGGGGAAACAGCCTGGTGGAGGTGTGTCTCAAGGACCGGCCTCTGCCGCCCGCATCGGGGATCTGGTCCCAAGATGAGTTCTCCCCCCAGTAAATCCCCACAGGTGGAGAGTGGTCTGTGGGCACCCACCCCGAGGGGAGCCCTTGCCCTGGCACCACCCTCCACCAGGAGAGGTCCCAGGGGACCATCTCCTCTTTCCCTTCTCTCATCCCCACCGTCAACCACAGAACAGGCAGGCCAGACCCCCTGACACATCTGCCCACTGACCTCAGTCAACTCTTTGGGGCCTCATGAAGAAAAGGGGGACAGAAGATACTGAAACGAGGGAGATGGTGACAGCGTGATTTCGAGGTGGGAAGGAGAGAACTGCGTTCGCTTTAGAGTGAGGGGCCCCCTCCTGGCATGGGAGGGGGGAGAGGAGGTAGGAAAGGGGGAAGGCTTTGCTCTTGAAGGATCAGACAAAGCAGCGGGATCTTTCCCTTAGGAGTGGGGGTGGAGATGCACCAATAACATTCCAGGGAAGAGTGTTTTTTTTAGGAGAAAAGTGACTTTTCTGAATATGGCGTAGTGTCCCTCTTCACGAAGCCAGAAATACTCCACTTTGTCAGAAACTGTAAATCCCCTGCTTCTATCTGACTTTGTACTGTATAACCCATCCTGGGAGATACTTAAGAGCCAGCGAGGTCTAAACCTTCGGCTCAGCTCCCACTTCTTTAGGGACCACCCCAATTCACACACATCCAGACCTTCACACGCACAGACACAGAGGCAGACACACAGACATACACACTCATACACACACACAGAGATGCATACTCACACACCCAGCCATACACACTCACACAGACACATAGAGTCACACTCACACAGAGACATACACATCCACACACATGCACACACACACACACACACACACACAGGGGGGCACAAAAGGCCATGGAGCACAGGATGGCCACAGAAGAAACATGTCTCATGCTCCTTCACACACACACACTGGCGGGCCCCAGGAAATACAGATCAAAACTCTGAGGGCTTACTTTCCTGGTGGGCAGGTCTCTAGCTCATGCTGTTCTTTGAGACAATGGGTCTGTGTGTGAGAGACAGCAAGCCACTGACGGCTGCCCTGAGTCCGTTCAAGGAGACATCCTGGGGGCGTGCGGCTGGAGCTGCGGGTGAGGGGCCTCCTTGCTGTCGGTCACAGCCGTGGGAGGGTGTGCGTGGACAGGTGGGAAGACAGGGATGAAGGGACTTGGGCTCCGTGGGCTTGGTGAGAGCCAGGAAGCTCCGGTCATGCAGACATTGTAGATGAGGCAGCTCACAGGGACACCAGAGAAGGGACTCAAGCTCGGGGGTCAGATTGAGGGGCCTTGATGCTCCCTTCCAAGTTTGAGGTTCTGTGAGAAGCTTGCAAATGTTTCACGTCAGCATCTCCGGAGCCTGGCTCTAAGTTGGTTCCGAAAGGTCTGTGGCCACGTGCACGCGTGATGCTGTGACTGTTTACACGTAGCCACAGGATGGTTTGTGGGTCCAGGCAGGCGCCCAAAGCTGCCTCAGCATATTCCCGGCCTGGCCCCGCTCTGTTGGCTCCAGGCAGAAGATGGTGGGTAGAGGCATCCAGCTCCTGGACCTGCCTACTCAGCACCCCACTGCCCTCCGTCTGTCCCTCATCATGGTTCATTCTGATGCTCCGACCACCCCCTGGTGCTGGAGCCTGGCCTGTTGGTGCCAGCACGAGATGGCGCCTTGGTATCCAACCCCATTCATCTCCCAGCATGACAGCTCCCCCAAGAGCAGCTCCTTCCATTTGCATCTTCGTCAGGTGCACTCTGCAGCCCAGCTCTCCCCTCACCGCCCCCGCCCTCCGCCCCCAATCCCCGCCTGAGCCCCATCTCTGTGCATGTGAGCCCATGTACCATTAGGACTTCCTGATTCCATTAATTTAGCACAAAGTGGTGGAGTGTCTCTTTGGGCCAGGCACTGTGTACCGAGGCTGGAACAGCAGGCAAACACAGACCCGGACCTCACCCTCATGGAGAAGGGAATAGGAGATGCCTGGGGCCTGAGTTCCCATAAACACTGGCCAGTGCCCGGCCTGAGGTTGGTTTGCAAGAGATGGGCATTAATCAGATAATCTCTGCAAACAAATATAAAATTTCAACTGGGGTCCAGGGTTCAAAGAAGAGACACAGAGTGCTAGGACAGCGGCATTGGCCTTGGTCAGGGAGCTAAGGAAGGATTTCTGCACATGCAGCATTCAAGCCAGACCTGCAGGACAAGTTGGAGCAACCCAGGGAAGGGAGAGAGTTCAAGGCAGAGAAGCCCAGCTCCGCCAAGGGAACGGGCCTGGCCAATGGGGAGAAGAAAAGGTCTCTATGGCCGGAGCTGGAGGAGCAAGGGGAGGGGAGTGTAAAGAGGGGGCAGGATCCCAGGCGGACCCCAGACAGCTCTGGTCTTCCCTTTTTACAGTAGAGGAATGGAAGGGAAGCTACTGAAACACTCTAGCGTGTGTGTGTGTGTGTGTGTGTGTGTGTGTGTGTGATTGAGAGAGATTGAGAGCAACAGACAGACGTGATGAAATATGCATTGAGAAGACCACTCTGGCGGCTGATATGAGGGATTGGAGAGGATGCCGGAAAATGTGTTAACAGGGGGGCAATGGAGAGAGATGACTGTGACTTGGGCCCAATAGAATTTGAAAGGATTTGTAATGCTGGGATGTTAATGCTTAATACTTGCTTCTTCCACTGTATGCCCGTCGGGGGTAGACCAGATGCACAACCTTACCTTGGACATGAGTGCCGTGAGCCAACCATTCCTCTTAAGCACCCACAGCCACACACCTCCTATTGTCTCTACACGTGCTCCCACCCCTGCCCCGGCCTCTGTCTGTGACTGACACCACTTCACCGCAGGTTTCTTTACCCGCCCCAGGTGCACAGAGAGGCCAGGACCTGCCTGTTGTTTCTCCCACTGTCCTTCCTGGGCCGGGGGGGTAGGGGGGGGGGGAATGTTAACCCAGTCTCCTCTGTGGGGTGGGACTTCCTAAGAGCCCATCTCTTTTCTGGATCCCATGAAGACCTGAGGAGGGAACAGGAGATGCCTGGGGCCTGAGTTCCCATAAACACTGGCCAGTGCCCTGTCTGAAGTTGGTTTTTGCAAACGAGCGCTGAGGGGTATCCCAGCCCTTCGATGCTTCCGCCATGGCCATCGGAAGGACCTGTGGTGGCTGATGGTGACTTGGCTCCATCACAGGCCTGTTCTCCCTCTCCTGTTCCTCTTCCCCCTCACTCAAACCCCCGACCCCTGCAAGGCCTGATCCACAAGCTCACTATTTGCACAGCCACCCTCTCTGCTTCATTTCAAATGAAGAGTCTGCCTCATTTCAGATCTTATGTAGAAGCACAACACATAAGGCCGTTCCCATGGGAAGGCGCTCTAGTTCAAAAAAAGGCTGGGGCGGTCCTGTGGGGCCCACCTGCATGTGGTGCTCCCGCGGCCGTCCTGTCCAGTTTATCAATAAATCCTTGCCTGCTTTTTAAAATTAAAAAAAGGGGGGGGCTGGAATTCCACCTCCTTGGCCCCCACCCCATCCTCTCGCCCAAGGAAGAACCCTGAGGCTCCTCGTTGAGGCACTAGGTGACAATATGGCGGAAAGACCTGTGGGAACCCCCTCTTTTTAAAAATATATTTTATTGATTTTTTTCAGAGAAGAAGGCAGAGGGATAGAGAGTTAGAAACATCAATCAGCTGCCTCGTGCACACCCCCTACTGGGGATGTGCCTACAACCAAGGTACATGCCTTTGACCGGAACCGAACCTGGGAGAGAGTTCAAGGCAGAGAAGCCCAGCTCCGCCAAGGGAACGGGCCTGGCCAATGGGGAGAAGAAAAGGTCTCTATGGCTGGAGCGGGAGGAGCAAGGGGAGGGGAGTGTAAGGAGGGGGCAGGATCCCAGGCGGACCCCAGACAGCTCTGGTCTTCCCTTTTTACAGTAGAGGAATGGAAGGGACCCTTCAGTCCATAGGCCGACGCTCTATCCACTGAGCCAAACCAGTTAGAGCTGGAACCCCCTCTTTCAGGTTTAGAGAGAGCAGTAGTTTCATGTAGTCCCTCTCCCCTCACCGCAGCCCTATGGTGGGGAGACTGGGGGACATGAAACACCTGCTCAGAAGCCTCCCTCTGACACCGGATGTGGGGTCCGGACAGGTCACTTCACGCCTCCAAGTCTCAGAGGCTGAATCTGGAAAATGGGTTTAGGAATGCCTCTCCCGGGGAGTGATGGTGAGGGGAGGTAACACGTGTCCGTTCGTTGCCTGCATTGGGTGACTCCGTAATAGATGGTAACTGTCATCACCGCATAGACCACCCCATCACACCTCCCCCTTTCCTTCCCGGAGAGACCCCCATCCTCTCCCACAACACAGCACACCCTCCTCACACCCACTCCCTGGCCTCTTCCCTGCACACCCCACCTGCCAAGGAGCTGCCACCCTCCTTCCGCTCTATAAATAATAAACCAGGAACACAAGGAAAAAATAAGTCAGAGCCGCGGAGTCAATGCCAGGAACGAAAGGCTCAGTCCTGCCCCATCGCCTCCAGGGACCCACGCCGCCCTCCGTTCTGGAAATGAAGCATCCCCGCATCTCCAGCACCCCGCTGACGCGCAGGCCCCAGAGGGCCCCTGAGATCCTTCTGCCTGTTATTTAACTCGCAGAGAGGAATCTGCTGCAGCCGCTCCTCCCCACTGGGCCCCAGAGGCACTGGAGAAGGCGGGGCGGGGGGGAAGGAGAGAGGCTGGTTAATGGCTCCTCCCGGCCTCTGGAGACGGCCCGCGTTGGGAGATGCTTTCCCTGGAGGAGGACCAGGACCCAGTTCGGGGCCCGCCCGGGACACAGCTGGAGGCCTTGTGGCGAGGCCACTGCGGGCAGTCCTCCGGGGATGGAACCCACATACAGGCTTCCTTTTTTGTGGCGTGATGGTAACAAGGACGCCGTGTGGTGGGCTGGTGGTAAGGACTCACTGAGTCCTTCACACGACGGCACTTAGCATGCTGGGCTGATTACACCGAATGGCCAGATTGTGATGATCTCTGAACGCGTAATAATCCGGCCACTCAGTGTACTGATGTACAAGGGAAAGCTGGCAAATCTTGACGTGTCAAGGGACCAGGAGATAGTGCCCGCCCCCCAGCCTCTGGCTAGTAAGTCCTCTGCTTCTTTCTAATGACCCACAAGGCAGTTCTTACACATGGAAAAGTCTTGTTTTAAAATCCCAACTCTGTGGTCAGGCTACACGGAGTGGCCGGATTACTACGAGTTCTGAGATCACCATAGTCTGGCCGCTCCGTGTGGTGTGTGTGTGCTGTTGACCCTCTGAACTCTGCTTCTGGTAGGCAAATGTTCCCAGACGTTAACAAAGGGGATGGAAGGCAAGGTGTGTGTGTGTGTGTGTCAGGAAACCATTTCGCTAGCTCCGGGGTCAGCAAACTGCGGCTCGCGAGCCACCCGCGGCTCTTTGGCCCCTTGAGTGTGGCTCTTCCACAAAAATACCATCGCCTGGGCGAGTCTATTTTGAAGAAGTGGAGTTAGAAGAAGTTTAAGTTTAAAAACGTGGCTCTCAAAAGAAATGTCAATCGCCGTCCTGCTGATATTTGGCTCTGCTGACTGATGAGTTTGCCGACCACTGCCCTAGATCAGCACTCAGCGACACCTCCATCCAGTGGCCAACCACTGAGGCTCCGGAGGGTGCGCGCACAGCAGTACATCCGCTGTGGGCTGGGGGCAGAGAGCTGGGCTGCCACCTTGCCCTCTGCTCCCCAGCGCCCCCAGCCGGAGCAAGGATGCTCGCTTTGGACAGGTTTCTGGAAGGTGCTCCCTTCCCTCTGACTTCTCCGTGAGCCACGCTCCCTTGTGAGATCTTGATGAGCACCCACTTCCCTCCCAAGAGGAAAAAGATGAAAGCGCCAAGGAAGCTCAGCCCCCGGCTCCCTGGACTTCCGCAGGGCGCGGTGCTCACACAGCATCTTACAAGCAAGCGGACGGCTCTTTCTCCAGATGCGGCCGCTGTGAGGCCGAGACCATGAGACAGGTGGCAGGTTGGGCGCCCCCAACACCACCACCACCACCACCAACCCCCCCCCCCACCTGCCGCCTTCCTCTTTTCAAGATGGCGCACAGGACTCAGGCCAATGACAGAGGCCTGGCAGGTGGGTTCCTCTGAACCCTCTCCCCAAAACCTGAGCAAGCAGCCACTTGCAAACAGCAGCCAGTGTTCAAATAGGCATGATGGGCAGGTGCCCATCCCACAAGTGACCGACCAAAAGCTGCAGCCCCTGGCGTCTTCCAGCATCGGGGCATTCCATAGGCCAGCAAGCCAACCCCTTCCCGGGAGGTGGGCATCCGGATTCCTGGTGAGACTTCCCGGGCCTGTGGTGCTCACCGCCTCCCACCACAGCCCCCAGCGCAGCCCACTCTCGGGCTGAGAAAGCTCCTGGGCTTGAAGTCCTAACCCCTTGTTGTAAAGTTCTCCGGTCTCCCACACGCTGCCCTGGGCAGCCTCCCGGCCCCCAGATTTGTCTTCTCTACCCTACACCGTCTCCTGCTCCTTCCGCTCATTCTCATGTCGTGCCCACCCCCCCCACCCCCCTGGTGAGCATGCCAGAAATGACCCTAATCCAGCGCTCCCACAAGCACGCCCCTGGATTCCACAAGACGTCCCCACTGCCGAAACCGGTTTGGCTCAGTGGATAGAGCGTCGGCCTGCAGACTGAAAAGTCCCTGGTTCGATTCCGGTCAGGGGCATGTGCATTGGTTGTGGGCACATCCCCAGTGGGGGGGGGGGGGGTGTGCAGGAGGCAGCTGGTCGATGTTTCTCTCTCGTCGACATTTCTAGCTCTCTATCCCTCTCCCTTCCTCTCTGTGGAAAAATCAATAAAACATATTAAAAACAAAACGAAAAAAGACGTCCTCACGTTTCTCCAAAACTGAGCGTGTGCGGCATTTTCCAGGCACATTGGATGAGGTTTTCTCACCTGTGCCATGGGCCCAGCAACAGCCTCTGCCTCGCAGTGTGTCCTCAGGGACAGGTGGTACTGCGCCTCCTGCTGGAAGAGGGCCAGTGAGGCCGGGTGGCTGGAGCCTTGAGGGCAGTGGTGGGTGGTTTCTAACGGAAAGGCGGGCACCTCACAGGAACGCAGGAGGAAGCGTGGTCTGCAGGCCCTTCTTGCTGCAGGAGTCCGGGGAGACAGGTGCAGCAGGGAGAAGCCAATGCAGGTACATGTCCACTAGGTGGCAGCACAGTCCAAGGAATGCGACTAGAAGGCACCTCCCTCCCAGCCCAACTCCATCCACCTGCCAGTAGAGGCTCCGCCGCGGCCCCGCCCTCCTCCGCACCTGAGGCTCGCACAGATGGAGACTCCGTCAGGTGCCCAGGTCCCCGCGCATCTTCACCGGCCTGTTCGTTGACACCTGCTGTGTGAGGGCGCTTGGGACACAGCCACACACAAAGCCTCGATGCGGAGTCGGAGGCGGGAAGCCCCCCGCCTTCTGCCCCCGGATTCCTGCCAGGGAGGAGGCCTCTGTCACCTGCAGGAACCATAATGCGTTCTCAGCGGGGTGATGTCACCCTCAAGGGTTCAGAATTGGTGTCTGAAGAACAACAACAACAAAAAATGTCTCTTTTCATATGTAGAGTGCAAATGGACATATCGTATGTAAATGGATGCGGATAGTATTAAAATTTCACGGAGGGAGGACAATTAGGGGGGGAAGTCTAAAAATGCTCCTTCAGCAGGAAATGGGGGAAGGAGGAAGAACAGTGGTCTAAGCCAAGTTGGGGTTCACTGTGAAGCCCCCCAGGCTCCTCACACACACACACACACACACACACACACACACACAGGCCTCCCCTACCACCCCCCTGTGGCCCATGTCGGCAGGAAGGCGACCCCTCGGGCCTCTGTCTGACAGGCCCTGCTCTCTTGCTCTCCATCCCGCTCCCTGCCCAGATGGGTTTTCCTGCACGAGAAAGCGTACCAGGTTCGGGACACGTCCATTGAGTCCTCGGTGGTAACCAAGGTGAAGGGCTTCGGACGCTACGCCAACAGAGTCATGGATGTGTCTGACTATGTGACACCACCCCAGGTATGGTCCCCCTACGGCAGGCAGGTGGCTGTGTCGACACCCAGACCAGGGCAGGTTGGTGGGGAGAACCCGTGTACACGTGGCCCAGAGCGGTGGCTGGGGGGGGAGGGGGAGTACCCTCCTGAGTCAGCACTGGGCATCCTCTTGCTCTGCCACAGCCTGTCCTGTGATCAGGATGACACACAGAGGGGGCGTGAGGGGCCAGGGGGTGGTTGGAAGAGCCTGGCGTGGAGCCCACGTTTGCCTGGATTAACCTGTGACCTTGGCCAAGTCTCTCAGCGAGAATGCCTTCCCCTCCCCATTCTTCTCCCAAGGGCACCTCCGTCTTTGTCATCATCACCAAGATGATCGTCACGGAAAACCAGATGCAAGGGTTCTGCCCCGAGGTGAGGCGGGGGAGGGAGGCTGGGGGAAGCTGGTCAGGGAAGATGAGGTGGCAGGGAGGGGCGTGGGGGTACGCAGAGGTCCTAGGTCCTGCCTGGGAGCCTAGTCCTGGGACCGACCTCCACGCCCTCGAGGCCCCCGGCTGTGGGGAGGCAGTGGGTGCCCACAGGCTCACCCAGGCTGGCCCAGGGCCCCTCACCCACCCGTGGACCCGTCTCCCCACAGAGCGAGGACAAGTACCGCTGTGTGTCCGACAGCCAGTGCGGGCCTGAGCGCTTCCCGAGTGGGGGTGAGTGGAGCCCCTTTCCCACCCCCTCATGACTCCAGGTGGTAGTGGGACCCCGGGGGGGAGGGGGGCAGGCCAGGGGTAGGGGTGACAACCATGCCCTGAGGTGGTGAGTGATGTCTAGGAGGAGCCAGGGGAAGGAGAGAGATGGGCCTTGTGGGATGGAAGGACGTGGCAGGACAGAGGGGCTTGGAAGGGGGCATTCTAGGCAGAAGGAACGGTCAGCAAAGCCTTGGAGGCAGGAGGAGCCTGCTGGGGCTGGGGGCCGGGGACCTGTGAGAGGAGGGGCCAACTCCCGAGGCTGGCCTAGGGCTGGGGAGAGCTCTGATGGGCCAATGTGTCTCGGGGACCTCCCTTGCCCTCCCTGTCCCTTCTGTCCGCCTGCAGGGCCCCTGCACATGTGTATATTGGGAGGGGGGGGGCGTCTCCGGTGAGGAGGGGTGGGGTGGGGGAAGGGCATGGCAAAGGGCCAGACGCGCACACAGCCCTGTGCCCGCCCTCCCAGGGGTCCTCACCGGCCGCTGCGTGAACTACAGCTCCGAGCTCCGCACCTGCGAGATCCAGGGCTGGTGCCCTGCCGAGGTGGACACGGTGGAAAGGTGAGGGCCCCCGCCCAGGCTCCCCGGTGCCCCGGGGGGGGGGGGGGGGCGGCACCCCCGAGCCGGCAGGGGGTCTGCTGGGCACCCACCGTCCTGTAGTGTCCAGCTTCCCCCCAGCTTCGCTCACCGGCCACCCTCCCGTCCTCCGGCCCTCAGGCCCGAGAGGCCCCGGCCACATGCCCGCTGGGCGATGTCCCCCAGGTGAGGGCTCCCGGCTCCCCTGCCCCCTCCTTCTGTGCCCACACAGGCCTGTCATGATGGAAGCCGAGAACTTCACCATTTTCATCAAGAACAGCATCCGCTTCCCCCTCTTCAACTTTGAGAAGTGAGTCCTTGCTCCTCCCTGAAGCCAGGAGGCAGCGCGCCCACCCCTCATTCTTAGAGGGGGCGGGGGGGGGGGATGCCGGTCAGCCCGGGGTTCTTCCCATGTTCTCCCCGTCTCCCTGTCTCCCGGGAGCTCCTGATCCCCGTCTCCAAGCCAGGTCTCCCCGCCAGCCCTGGCCACTGAGTATCAGGTGGACTCGGGCCAGTGTCTCTGCCAGCCACCTCCTCTCCCCTCGTCCCCCGCCCCGCCCCGCCCCGCCCCGCCTGGGAGGAGGACATTAGACATGAGTCCTCACGACCCTGGGATGGGACAGAACAGAGGGGGGCAGGAGAAGGGTGCAGGGACAGAAGTGAGGTCCCCTGCCGGGCGCGCAGCAGGGCCCTGAGGCCCGGGAAGGCTGGAGAGAACCTTGTGGGGGGAAGGCCTGTCTCCACCTTGACCCTGAGCCTGGCCTCTCTCCTTCCCTCCTCCCTTCCAGGGGGAACCTCCTTCCCAACCTGACCGCCGCCGACATGAAGACCTGCCGCTTCCACCCTGACAAGGCCCCCTTCTGCCCCATCCTGCGGGTGGGGGATGTGGTCAAGTTTGCGGGGCAGGACTTTGCCAAACTGGCCAGCACGGTGAGGACCGGACCGCCCTTGCGCGGGACGTGAGGACCCTTCGTGGGGCGGGGATGCTGGGGAAGCGGAGCAGCAGCGAGGCAGCGCCACCTGGTGGGGGCATCCAGGCCTGCCGCCACCTGTCCTGAGTGGTCCTGCCCCCTCACCCTTCCCGCCAAGCCCCGTTTCCCATTCCTCACCTGCACACAGACAGAGAGGCCTGGGGCACTGAACATTGGACCTGTGCCACTTTCTCCCGTGTTGTAGGTGTTGTAGGTGAGGGACTGACGACACCAAAAGCAGGATGTAGCGCCTCGGGGGCTCACCCTGAGCTACATACTTCCTTGCTGAGCAGCATGGGGTGACACGTTCTTTTTCTTTCTCCCCACCTGCGCCCTCCTCGGAAGAAGGCAAAGCACTCGGGTGTCTGTGGGTGATGCTCCCCACTCCCACCGGGAGGAGGCGGGCCCCCGCGGGCTGCGGGAGAGCTCACACCCGGCCCCTTTCTGCAGGGCGGGGTCCTGGGCATCAAGATCGGCTGGGTGTGCGACCTGGACAAGGCCTGGGAGCAGTGCATCCCCAAGTACTCCTTCACCCGGCTCGACAGTGTTTCTGAGAAGAGCAGCGTCTCCCCAGGCTACAACTTCAGGTAACAGAGGCCAGGGCTTGTGCTCAAAGCTGCAGCTGAAATAAGCACGTATTGGGAAGAAAAGGTCCTATGTGTCAGGTTTCTGTTCAAAATGAGGCAGGACTTCCCAACAGGCAGCTCTCGGAGACAGACAGGCCGTCCTGTGAGATCGTGGCTCCAGGGAGGGACCATGTCGGCGGGCGGCAGGTGGCGGTGAGGCCAGATGGCCAAGGTCTCCTGGAGTGTCGGGTGCTGTGATTCTGAGTTCAGTTTTCCATTTTTCCGCTCTGGCTCTGAGACTGGTAGGTGCCCAGGCCTCCCTCACCCAGGCAGCCCCATCCCTTCTTCTGCGCCTGCGTCCTCAGGGTTCTCGCTCCTCAGAGCTAGGGCAATAGATGGTATCGTCTTCCGAGACGGAAATTTTGTATTTCTGCCCGGAACCAGGAAGTGTCACTGGAGGCACACGTGGCAGTTACAGTGGCCATTCGTTCTTCAGTACCTTTCGAACAAGAACTGAAGCCAGACTCTAGCAGGATCTAACGGGTATTCCCAAAAGCCCTGAGACACCAGAGACCCCCTCTCCCCCTCCCGCTCTGCACACAGGGAAGGGGAGAACCCGGGAGAAGCTGCTTGGAAGCAGCCGAAAGGCCTTGACCTTCTCCCCTCCCCCTACTCTCCCACTCGGGAAAGGGCGATGGGATGGTTATCCAGGATCCCATCCGCAGTGTCTGAGAAGCGTTAGCTCTCTGTTCAGGTTTTCCCTTCATTTTTGAAGATCCTGGAGTTTCTGGCAGGGCCCTCAGGACGCTGTGTGATACACCAAGCAGGCTAATTAGCGAAAGAGACAGTGATCAGGGGGGAAAAAAATCCCTGTAAGAACATACTACATCTATATGTTCAAAGAATGGTTACTCAAGTTTCCTTTGTTGTCATGGTGTTTCTCGATATAGTGAGATACATAAGCCAAAAAAAAAAAAAAAATCATTTCACCCCTTTTTTTTTTTTTTTTACCTTTATCGATAGCTCGAAAAGGTCATTATCCATTCCATTAAGCTTTATCTTTAATCGTTTAACATATGCATGTGTAATCTCTGGAAAGAAGAATTTGAAAAAAAAAAATTTGAAAGTGCTTTCATAATCAACTCCCGACTTTGAAAAATCATAGGAAACAACACATATTTTAAAGTAGTTTAAAAATACTGTTTGGCTCCCTCGCAGAAATTGGCATATTTATTCAGTCGGGTACATCGCACTGAAATCAATACAAAGGATTTCATACGATAGCTTAAAATAGAAGCGTATTAATAAAATCCTCATGATCTAAACTGCAAGTTTTCATCTTCATAACTTCCCTCTGGCCACTGGGAATTCTTCAGCCCTCCGAATATCTTACTTGGCAGGAAAGCTTATGAAGAGTATAACTATTAGGAAGACCTCAGCGAGTGGTGTCATACAGTTTTAGAGCAATGTCTTTCATGTAAAGAATCGGTTTGGAGTTCTTTGTCTCCAATGCAGTGTGCTGTGGTTCACACACACACACACACACACACACACACAAATGCATGCACACCTTGCCTAGGCACAGCAGGGCCTGAAGCAGACTGGACCTAGGTAAGCTTGTCTTTGGAGAGACAGGTCAGAAATCTCTGAGGATCCTGAGAACATAAATCCCAGGGGGATGGGGGGGCTAGGGGTACCATCTGAGAGGTGTGGCCTCCACACCCAAGCCCTCCAGCCAGAAGATGAGGGGGCGAAGCTGCCCAATGTGATCCTTGTGGTTTAAAGGATTTTCCAGAGGAATAGCACTGGTGTGGGGAGTATCTGATGGCCCTGGCAAGCAGAGGGCTCTGCCCAAGCTCCCTGAGGTCACTCCTTTGGGTGTCTACCCACTCACCTTCATGCAATCTTTGAGCTGCTGGCTCCACATGGGCAACCAAGGCTAAGCTAGGAGCCCACAGAGGGCCTCCTTTCTGAATCCGGAGGAAAAGGGCCATGGCCAGGGTCAGTGTGGGCGCAGGGCAGTTCCTGGGATGGGTACAAAGTATGCTGCTCCTGAGAGTCCCACCAGCTCCCTTTGGTAGGCACGATACTGGGCACCCCGTGCAAAGTGTCTGTGCACTTTGTTTCGTTGTTCCCCACAGGGAGGCGCTATAATCCCCCACTGCACAGGAGAGAAAAGGGAGGCATTCAGACTTAAATATGTTTCCCAATGTCACAGAGCCAGCAAGTGTGGGAGCCTGCCTGCAGACGTATTTTCTTGAATGATATCCATCCACCTCAAGCAGGAAGGCTAGGGACATGAGCACGTGTTAATCCTCAGAAAGACACGCCTACGTGCATGTGGGCCAACGGCTAGCTTCGGGGGGCGAGCCACAGGACACAGCCTGGCCTTTTGTCTCCCAAGCAAACCCATCTGCCTTTCCGACAGTGGCCAGGTTTTTCTCCACGTCCGACCGACCATCCTGTCCTACAGTTTGTTGCCTTTTTGCACTGGAGGGAATAGAATCCTTCAGCCAAGACTCAGCCTTGTTTAATATGCAAACTCAGACACCCAGAGGCAGCTAGAGACTCGCATTTCCATCACTAATTACTTCTGTAGCTCCTTTCCAAGCCCCACCCCCCTTTTTGGAGGCTCTCTGCCTGCAGAATCTGAGATGTAGAGGAGCTCTAGCTGTTGAAAGCCCCTCAGAGACACCTAGAATGGCGGAGGCGGTCATTCTACAGATGAGGAAGTAGGAACTTCAAAGGGGGGAGTGATGCGCCCAAGGTCATGGGTGCATCTTAGAGGTCATTTACTCCCAGTGCCTATATCAGTCTCTCTGCAAAGCAGCCCTAGGCAAGGGACCACTTCACAAGATGACCTGTCCCTCATCGGATCGCCTCCCAGTGTTGTACTGAGCCAAAATGTGTCTCCCACCCAAAGTCCCTGGTGCCATCCATCTAAACTCATCTTTGTTTATGGGATCTGACGGTTTCTGTCTGTCCCTCCCTCCCTACAATTTGCTGGAAGGATTTTATTTCACTCCTACGTCTATTCTGCATGGCTAAAGGCTCCGGGGGCTGCTTTCCCTTGTTTGTGGGTTGTTGTTTTTTAGCTTGGTATTTTTAAGACGCCTCTTTCCAAGTACCGTGAGAGTGTGCTGTTGGTGCGTTCGTCTGGCTTGGTAGTGGGCAAAGGGCAGCATTTCTGAGAATAAGAACTGGCGAGAGTCACCAGTTCAACGGTGCGAAGGTGACCGTCACCCCGGTGTTGGTGTTCTTGCAGGGGTAGTTCCTGCAACACAGGGGGCCCTCTGTTCCCCAGAGCAGGGTGCTGACCAGAGCACCCCACTTCCCAGAGCTGGGAGCTGGCACAGCCGAGTGAGTCTGGCGTGTGAGTTTGCGAGTGAGGGTGAGTGTCTGTGGGTGAGTGTGAGCATGATGAGGGTGGGCATGTGTCTGCGAGTGACTGAATGTGTGCATGCGTGTGTGCGCGTGCGTGCGTGCGTGAGTGTGTCAGTGAATAGATGTGTGTGGGTGTGAGTGTATAGGCAGAGATGGTACAAAGACAAATTAAAAATACTGTATCAGTCAGGGTCCCAGCAGGAAACAGATGGCACATGCAAATTGGGTAATTTGAGGAGAATTTAATGCAGGGAGTGTTGCTGAATTGTGGGCAGGGTGCAGGGATACCACAAAGGATCCTGCAGTGCTGCGGCCGGGGTCTGAAGGGGCCAGGGCAGGAGGCTGTTACTGGAACCCGGAGACAGAGATAGGACACTGCAGCCTGAGGAGAACGAGGACCCAGCCACGCTTCCTCAGCAGCCAGCAGCAAGGCAGCAGGCCAAGGCAGCCCAGGGCAGGGTGGGGAAGGAGGGGAGGAACACTGGTGTCCCCAGTCCGGGCCTACCAACTTTCCTCCGTGAAATCACAGCCCTTTGGTAACTTTTGGAGGCCGCTAACTCTATTACAGCCCCGAGGAAAGCACAGAAGCACGCACCATTGATTGCCCAAGAAAAGTGCACGAATGCACAGCCATGAGCAACATTGCAGGCCATTTCTTTTGTTAAAAGATACTTTATTTCTACAGATAGGATGCAAGTGCATCCTCAGGATGAGAACCCTAAGACAAATGGATAGACAAAGTCATGGCCTGGAAACTAGCTTCACTCTGGCTGCTCCCTTGCATGGAATCAACATCCCACACAGTGTGGTCTGTTTCCTTCTCTGCATATTTATGCGGCATAGAATTCCGAGACTTTGAAGACCTTTGAAAGCCTATCCCGGGACCTCAAGACAAGGCCCCTCTCGCAGCCTATTTTTGACAGGATTTGACAGTTTGCCACCCACCCGGCCTGCACCCCTCAGTAGGCAGAGAGAGATTTTGAAACTTGCCCTAGACTACAGAGCCCAAATAAGAGGTTCATTAGGACTCAGACCCAGGAACCTGACCTATAGCCATTGCTTCTAGCAAACCTCCCACCATCATTTTACTAACACACACACACACACAGAGAGAGAGAGAGAGAGAGAGAGAGAGAGAGAGAGAGAGAGAGAGAGAGAGAGAGAGAGAGAGAGAGAGAGAGAGAGAGAGAGAGAGAGAGAAAGAGGCAACTTGAGGTCATAAACCAGGTAGTGACCGCTGGGATGCGGAGAGAGAAGCAGAACAGTGCGCTCAGCAATGTCTGACTCCCGGGACTCCTGAGGGTCCCTGGGACAGCGTGGCTCCTAAGAGGCGCTGCCTGCCGCCGTGGCTCTCCTCCCCTGGTGTCTGCCTGCGCTCCGCTGCTCGCTGCTCCTCCTGCTGGAAGCGTTTGTGGCGCGTGTTCCATGTTGGAAATGTACCCGCAGCAGCTTTCACGAAGCTGAGACTTGGCCGCTGAGCTGCTTCCACACGGAAACGTGCGGATCCGCGAGCTCTTAGGCCAATCGCCAGGGACCGGATTGAAGCGTGCCCTCGGCTTGGATCATCCCTTCCGCAATCTGGGTCTTTCTCCTCCCGGTAGCCATGGAGATGCGTCAGAGCAGACACCTCCCTCATC